ATCATTAACTTTATCGTCTTCTTTTGATTCCCATTCATTTCTTATTCTTCTTTATTCTCGTTGCTCATGTTCTCAGAGTCCTCAAGACTCAACAGCATCTCGTATATTCCTGGTAAGAAGTACAATGGATAGTGGTCACCCAAAATACCACTTCCCTTTTTGCCACCCAGCTTAAAACAACATAACACCTCCACCAAATTAACAACAATCTCTGGATGGAACGAGGCAAGTCTGAAAACTTTCTATAATATCCCTCGATCATCACCTTCCTTGTCTCATATTTGTAAACTCTTGTTTACTACCATCGATAAATGCCGGATGGATAAACTTTTCCTTAAACAAGTCCTTAAACAATTTTAAATCGGCTGATTCCTCTGGTGACAACAATTAACAATCCTGTTTCCACCAGGATACAAATTCATACCCAAAACCAGGTAGTCGTCTCGACCCCCTGTCAGAAGGAAGATTCCTTTGACTTGCATAATCCGAAACTTCCTTTCCAAACGGTTAAACCGTCACTTCGTTCCCTCAGGTTCATCATTTCATAAGGTGATTCAAATTCAACTCATAACCCGTCTTAAAATGTCCTTTTTTATAATAGACTGAATCACCATAGTAATAGTTTCCCCCTAAACCGCTAAATCAGGGAGACTAAGTTCCTCTAACTACGTGGCTTGCTACGAGGCGGTGTAGTTCTGACAGAATTCACTAAAACTTCTCAAGATGTCCAAGATTGCAACCATGCTCTGATACCAACTGACACACCCCGTCCCGAATGAGGGCATGCTGGCCGTCACGTGAGAGTGACGTAACCATTTGCACAGTACGGAAGCTTTAAAGATACAATTTATAAGTTGATACACCCGAAGGTGAGTCCTAATTTTGTCCAATCTGTCAGAACACCGTCGAATTCCTCGTAGTCACTACACCTTTGTGATTCCTGAACCTGGAGGGGCGCAAAACCAAAACTGAGTGTGTCAGTAAAACAATTCTTTTCCAAATCCAAACATTTCTCAAAACGTTGTAACCCCTCTCCGTAAAACCTGTATACTTTCCCAGAAATGTAAAATATAAATATACATATATATTCTCAAAACTTCAATTCACTTTTTCAACATTTTTCATATCAGTTATGCCATGCCATGTCTAAAATCAACAGTTAAGTATGGATGCATCAACAATAATCATATCAGGTGCAAGAAAGTAATCAACCGGAGGCCCTCTAATAGCCCTGTACGGTTGAATTTAGAGCTCAAAATCTATCACTATCACTCTGCCGGAGTCACCTCTGTGACTTGTACGGCCTTCTGCACATAGGTTACGCTCTAGTGCTTCTCTCATTAATCATCTGTGCACATAATCTAAGGTCACCCACCAGTCGAAATCTCACTAACACTCTTCGACTGGCCCGTCGCACCCACTCCGCGTGGACTGTGCGACCAGCATCTACTTGGATCCAAGGCGAGCGTGCGATGCGGTGAATACTATAAGCACTAAACCAAGGTGCAGGATTTGAGCTCAATATACATCAACATCATCATATCAGTAATTAAATACTCACCTGTGCGTCCGCCGCACCAATTCATACATATGCATCATATCTCAATTCATACTTTTCATATCATTTCATGCATGGCAATTCGATTCACATTTTTCATATAATTCTATATACTTTTCGCATACTTCTATGCATGGCATTTCAACTAATATATCTCATATACTTTTATACATTTTCATTAAAAGCATAGTTTCATGCATTTTCAATTCCTGGGAAAACGGCAAGTATATATGTATACGGAAAACAAAACTGCCCACTCACAGATTACATCGACGTCTCGTAAGTCCCTGAGCATCCCTTGGCCATGCCCAACGTTCGTACAAGCCTCGCCTATACGAGAAATAACCGAATTAACGTTATTTAACGCATAACCTAATTCTTAGCTAATAACTCCTCATATATTGCTCAAATTGGGTATATGAATATACCACAGTGACCTACACAACCTCAGGATCATCCCCATATTTTTAAATAATTTTTTGAGGTCTCACGCGCCCACACGCGCCTGACGTGGCACGGACCTACGCGCCCCCCACGCGCGGCCACGTGCCAAGCACACTGACGGTGTCAATTGACGCCGTCAGGAATATTTCGTTAAAATCCCGGAATATTCCGTTAACTTAACCGGATACCGTTACTGCCGTTAGGAATATGCCGTTAAAAATAACGGAATATTCCTTCTTCTTCTCCGGTCGTCCCTCGCCGGACTCCGGTCACCGGAAACTGGGGAATATTTCAAATCCACTATTCTCCTTCGTTTTTCATCCAAATTTCTCGAATTTTACACCAAATTGAAGCCCTAAACATCTACTCTCACGTTGGACTAGTTTTAAGGCCTAAAAACAACGGGATCAAACTTTCAAAAATTCAAGAAATCGGCCTACCTTTGAACTAGGTGATCCCGACGTCCAATTCATGCCAACGAAGCACTCCGAGCTTCCTTGGGACTTCCTTAAGCTCACTGTGAGCTTGGTTTGGCCTAAAACACAACCAATTCAAAGCTCATGAACAGTACACATTCACGGCAACTTTAAAACTAGGGTTTTCCGAAGCAAAACTTACCTGAAATGGATACCATCGCGATCGTGAAGTCTTCAGGGTTCCAATGGTGGTCTTAGATTCGTCGTTGGTATAGATTTAGGGTGGTTTTGTGGTGGTCCGTGTGAGTTCGAAGGAGAGGGAGAGAGAACTGAGAGTTTCGTGAGGGAGGAGAGAGAGAGACAGTGAACGGGAAATGAGGAGGGTTTTGAGGGATGTGGGGATCCCACGTGGTCCTTTTTCCAATCCCAAAACACCAAACTTTAACATGTTCATGAAATTCTTGGTCTAAGTTTAGACCCTAAAACTAGTTAATATTTTAAATTAACACTAGTTTAAGAACTTTAGGTTAAACTAATGTCACATTTATGCACCTTAATCCCGTTTAAGGGCACTTTAGTAATTTCATGTCCTCGGAAATGAAAAAAATTCTGGGACGGGCTGTGACATATGGTGCCCAACATCTATTAATGTTCTTCCTCAACCCTTTTGTCGTTTCTTTTAATTTCTCTGGGCAGCGGCCATAAGCCATGCCTCTCAATTTCTCTTATTTTATTTATAAAGAAATATAATTCTTGAAAAAATAATTTTACAGTAACAATCACATATGGTTGTAGGTCGGAGAAAATTGCAAAGGCATATGGAGGAAGAGGTAGAATTGGAGAAGGATTTTGATGACAAATTTACCTAGCTAACGAATTTCAGAAAAAAAAATTACGAAAAAAATGTCATTAGTTCTACAAGATTTAGGGGTTAAAATGTGAACGATGATGAGAGATTCCATGTCAAGAGGCATAGCTGTTGCGACCCGTTGAGGAAGTGAAAGAGATAAAAGTTAAAGTTTGAGAAAGAACAAAGATAGGTGGTGGGACTCAGAATTTTAATTGTCTTTAATTCTCACATATTGACAAAGTAAGTAAATAAGAAAAAACACCTCCCAGCTTAAAATTCTTTAATTCTCACATATTGACAAAGTAAGTAAATAAGAAAAAACACCTCACAGTTTTATATAAAAGCACTCCAAATTTTCGAGGGGAAACATCTACTTGTAAGCCAGGGTTTTTTGGTTCCCTTCTCTCAAACCAAATGTTGTGTCATCAATAGAAATAAGCATGCTAACCAACCCTTAAATAATAATTTAATCATCAACTTCCATGTCATTTAGTTTACCATATTTTGTCTACAAATTTAGTCTTCTTAACATTACCCTTTCTAAATTATTAAATTTGGTGTGCTTTTCTAAGTGTTATTTTATCGAAGTTTTACTTGTAAAAACAAATAATTTTTATTATATGGAGTTAGAGCATATTTTTTGACGTTGTCCTGGGCCTTAAAAATCTCGGGACCGGCCCTGCCTTGTATATGAGAAAGAATATAAACACCACACTACTTATACATACATCGAATGAGGGCTGATTTGGTATTGCTGTGCTTTGAAAAAAAAGCTGCTGTGAGAATAAGCGGTTGTGCTGTGAGAATAAGTGGCTGTGAAATAAAGCCAGTAGAGTGTTTGGTAAACTTTTTTGTGAAAGTGCTTTTGGAAAGAAAAAAAGCAGGATGATAGTGTGTCTTTTCATTAAAAGAGCACTGTAGCTCCGTGTGCTTTGAAAAAACTGGCTTTTTTTCAAAGCAGCAAATAGCAGCTTCAGCTTTTCCTTTGATTTTCAGCTTATTCTCACAGCAGCTTCCAAAATAAGCCATTTTTTTTCAATTTACCAAACACAAAATGACCCTCAGCTTTTTTTCACAGTGGCTTTTTTTAAAATCACCTCAATCCCAAACGGGGCCTGAGTAAACCGTTCTTCAGGGACTATTGATATAATCAAACCGCTTTTAAACCTGAGCTTGAGAGAGATGCTGATAGGGGCCACGGATTCACGTGGAGGTGAACATCGACGGCGAACAAAAGCCGGCGGACAATACGTGTATCATTAGACATGTGCTTTATAAAGGATAGATTTCAGTGTGATTGTAACATTGTTATCTATTTGAGACGTATTTTATAAGAAAAAAATTATAATGTTATTTTATAAGAAAGAAATTATAAAGTAACCGCAACACCATTTTGTACTTATAAAGTTTTCATATTATTCAACCCCCAAAAAAAGTAATTTTCATGCCAACATCATAATCCACGAAAAAACTAGTTGAATCTCACCTTGGTTGCTAGAAATGAGCATGACGAACTTGTTGAGAGAGAAGTAATTCAACTCATTCACATCCAGATCATGAATGTTTGGAATCCATATTATGCAAAGAGACATTGCTTTTGCTAATTCGAATTGGAAGGTGATATAACCTTTCTTATTTTTCTTGCCCACAACTGGTTGTACAGGCGTTCGTACCTATCACGGGTAACTCACCCGTGATGGGAGAGATGGAGCCGAATATTTAGACAAATGAGTTACAAATAAAACCATACATCGACATTGCAGTGTCATCACATTACTGTTAATTAAGTTTACATCACACCCACACGCATACAATTAAGGAAGGCGGTTCTATACTAAATCTCTACACCCTTCAATGTACATCACCTTTCAGTGGCCATTCCAGCACATCTGAATTCTAGTCTTTCAACTCATAACATTAAATTCAAATACAAAGAAGCCATTACTTCTTCCATGAGATAACTAACCATACAGTAAAAATTAGAGCCTCAGCTTTCACCGCGATTCCGATCCGGCTCAGCTGTCGCTTTCTCCTGCTTCTTGTTAGCAGTAATTTTGGGCTTGTAATATGCCAAAACTACGTAACTAAATAAACTGTGCCAATTACCGGTCGATGATCAGCCAGCAACGACTGCATCGGCCCTTGGACTCGCATCCAGGAGTTGGTGCAGCTTCGTCCCATTGTTTTTCTCGTAAGTGTCACTGTCTTTCTCAGCATCCCTCGCAATAGAACCTGCGTTGTTAACTCTTGACAGTAGGTTCTCGGTACTGAAAGGTTGGACCCTCTTGTCATCAATGTTCATGATGATGTCTTCCATTCTTCCTACGCGTGCGTTTTTGAGTTTATCCTAGTATGTTGAGAAAAAAATGTATGTTAACACAAGAACAGCCGCATAAATTTTCGTCAGTTTCCGAGTAAAGAAATGATTCTGAAATAGCATGTGGATGTACCAGTAATGTAGTGTTTTCTAGCCTCAGTGTAGCAGAATTCTCGGTTAACCGGTTTATTTCAGATTTCAGTGCCACATTATCTGCAGATAAGGCCTCGACCTTTCGTGCAAGTTCTTCAGTCTCAGCCTAGATGGAATAAGCATTAGCATCACATCTTCATTAATAAGACACTCACTACAAAAAGAATATTGGAACATGGATCTTTCACAACTTTCATACCTGCTTCCTCAACCTGGATCTTCTAGCAGATTCCCGATTAGATTGCTTCCTCCTTTCCCGTTTTATCTCCCGGTCATTCTGTGAATCATATTCAAGCCACCATAAGCTACATTTGGTGGTGCATAATTTGGATTAAGTATGAGAAACAAAAGCATATCTAACAACTACAAAGCGATATAAGCAAACCATACATGTATCCAGGTTTCCGGAGGCAAAACTGCACAGGATTGCGGAACACTGGTAGGACTTGTCTTCGAGTTCAAGATAGGCGAGTTCTTGAGTTCCAACGCTGTGGTCATGCCAGGAGAAACAGCTGGTCCAACCAATTTTCCCGGGATACTAACAGCAGCAAGAGTTACACCCAACACTTTATCAGTAGCTGCACTTGCCTCCTCAGCTGGTCCAGGCTGCATGTCAGTCTTCCCTTCTCCAGCTGCTGGAACAAATATTGAGCACAAATACGTGTCAAAAAAAGGTTGTATCGAACTTAAGATTTTGTGTACTGTAAAAAACCAGTGAATCCATCACTGCATCAAAGCGGAGGATCCTGATTTTAAACCTCCAAAACTATAACCTATCAAAGTCTCAATTAAGTGGTGGAGAGATGTTCGCATGCGAGTGGATGTGTTTGGATGTAAAACAACAAATGGCTCACATCTTAAGACTTTAAGCTTTACGAAATAAGAGCGATTTACTAAAAAATACTGATTGCAGGCCTACTCTATTGTTCGTCAAGATGTAACAATGGATCAAGAACATTCATACCAGTGGCTGGTGTTCCCTCACGACTTCTTTTTCTTCTGGTTTGATTTGCCTGGACATATGGGGCAATTTAACTTTGCTATTAACCATCAATATACATAGAAGATTCAAATCAAGTGAGAAAAAAAGGAAGGTATAGCAGAAACATGCCACAAGCAAAGGAAGAAGTCCTTACCGCAGCAGTATTCCCATCACTTCCATTGCTAGAACCTTCAGTCCCAGAACTGTTAACATGGTAACAAATACACCAAATTAGTCCATAAATAATATATTTATACGAAGAACCGAGAGCCTAGTGGACAAATTTTCCAGATACAAGTGAGCAAAGGGGAAATTCCAGTCCACCAGAGAGTGGACCAGATTAGTGCACTAGGCGGAGTGTATCTAAAAGGTTGAAGAACGAAAGGAAGAACGAAGATAATCTGGTTTACAAACCTCTGGGAGAGACTACGCTCAGCTCCACCTACGGCATTCATAACATTACCACTGCCTATTGACATTGCAAGCCCATCAAATCCTTTCAACTTTTTCATTAACCCACAGTCTGTATTACCAGATGACTTTGTTGGTGTTTCCATATTCAAAGGAGTCACAGCCTGCATTATTGCACCACAATAGAGTTACATTCAAACATAAAGATTAAACCCCTTAACCATGGAGATAGTGTAGATGAAAACTTCACTTACAGCAGGTAAGGATGGACCCCCTTGACCATGGGATGCCTATATCAAGAAAAACAATTCATTAATAAGTAAGAAACTTCCAGTCTTGTAAATATTACAGTTACATCACACAGGATAAAAGGGGAGGGAGGGGGAAGACACTGGATTGCACAACTTCTTTAGAACGAAAAGGGTGGAAGGAGTCATGAATTATTGATTTGAGCACTATATCTACATAAAGAAATAGGAATACTTATTAATTTCCATTGGGGAAGCATGGGGAAATCAGTGGCAATTGGAATATCCAGCAAGTACTAGTACAAATACATGTACATAACAATAGTAATGAAGTGGGGCAAATACAATCAACTCTCCGCTTTCAAAAGGTGTAGCAATAACGTTGGGGAACTTTAAAAATCAATAAATCACTCCAAACTGAAAATCAAACAGAAACTCTGATGAAATGTAGATCTTCACTAAAAATGATGAGAATTTAAACTTACAAGAGGAACTGCCGGATGTGCATAAACACCTCCATGCGAGTATACTGCATAAGGCGCCCCATAGGGTGGCATCATATGCTGAAAGAATTAACAAGTCAGCAACTTCTCAAGCAGTATACCGAAGTTATTCCAGCATGCGTATGCAATTGTGAATTTAAATTGAATGAACCACCTTGAAGCAAAAGAAAGTACCTGTGGTGGGGGCCACATATAGGGATGAGGAGGGTGGCCAGAAGCCATAGCTGAGTTGTAATATGGAGGGAGAGCAACTCTCGGACCATAATAAGCCTGAAGGTATAAAACATTAGCACGAATCAGTTTTACATGAAATGGTACAATATAAATCCCAAAAAGTTGTTGGAGCAAAACTGCAAAACAAAGTTGTAACCTGCATGGCTGCCCAATCAGGATAGACATGCAGATTGGTCTGATTGTTAGGATTCGCCTGATCCTGTCAACGTAAAATGATTGGGAAATACTTAGATACAAGCTCCAACAGTAAACAATTAAGATTAACACGAAAACAATGTATCTCAGCTTACTGCCGGCAGAGGCGAATATGATTTTTCAGATTTAACAGACTTTGCATCATCATCGTTTCCCATGGATAAACACTATGGCTTATTCAAAGATAATGTGAAGAAGTATTGCGAACTTCCCTGATTAGAGCATCACTCCTTTGATCTGTCCAGACTGCACATTGCATAAATAGTTGCCATGAACAACTGTACCCGATAAAAAAATGCTAGGCTTATAAACAAAAGCACAAAAGATGGGGAACCAATATCAACACAACTTTAGTCAACTTTCTCTTGGGAATTCTTAACACAAGCCAAAACTGATATGCTCTTCGGAAAACATTAAAACGATGAATCGATTCAGCTCGATAAACAAACTCAATTAACGCTAAAGCAACAACAACAATACCACGTTGCTTCAGATTGCTTGGTCAACAGAGGCTAAGTATACAGGTTAGATTAATGCACATATGAAACTGTTCCTATCCTATCTGCCAAATCGAAAACACACCGATCGAAACCAGAGGAATCGGAATCTCCGGTAAACCCAAAAGATTGATTGAGGACAGTGCTGATTACATCACACTAGAACAACAATTGAGACTTAAAATATTTACCAAATTTTGTAGTAGCAATTAGCTGCTTGCTTATGTGAGTGTTCATCAACTAATTAAAAAATTAGCAAGAATACAAATACATCCATGCCTGTTTTCTCTTTTGATAAATTAATTACAATATTCTCACAAATCTCTTTCACCAAAGCAAAACGGGGATCAAGTTAATCAGAACATACAAAATTAGGAAATTTAAATTTAAATAAAATCTGGGGCAAAATGGTATTTCCACCAAATCACTTCATAGGAGGATAATTGCATCACCAAATCCATCACCAGCTATTAACCCTGTAATTAAATGACAGATACGCCCTTCACACGCAAAAACATTTTTCTTAGAAATCGTCTTATGATTTTGTATTTGTATCAGATGATTTGATTAGTTCTAATCTAACACGAATTATTATACTTTGGAATCCTAATTTCTTCTCTATTTTTGTACAGTTGGACAGAAAATAGTGAACCGAGAAAATTTCAAAATCAAAATCATAAAATTCCAGCATAAACAAACAGAATTCTTCCAGATCAATCAAAACTCATTCCACTCTAATCCTCTGTTTGGTTGCTAGGAAAATCTCAAGCTGCCGGAAAATAATTTAAAAGACTCATACTTTGAATTCCTTCATCTTCCTAAACATTGTCTCACCGTAATTCCGTTCAAGTAACAACGAGATTAAGCTCTTTCCCCTTACTTTATCCCTTTTCTCAGCAACCAAACAGAGGCTGAGCCACAATACAAACGAAAAACATCAACCGGAACTCAAAATTCAACGTACCTTAAACTCTCAATCCGAATCTTCACCTCCCGACCTCCGAAACCAAAGCTTAAAAGAACAAAAAAACTGCAGAATTTGCTTCAAAATTCGTCAAAGCTTCAACTGTCTTCAATGGCGGCCCGGGCTTCACATCCCCTGCATTTTATTTCTCTCTAAAAATTTCGAGATAAAGAACTTGTTTTATATTTGCAAAGGAATACAATTTAGAGAGACAGAGAGAGAGAGATATGTAGTTATGCAGGAGAAGAACAAGAGGGGGAGGAGGAGGAAGAAGAAGAGCGCCAAGGCAACGGCCACGTCACGAAACACGTGTCGTATGCGAAGGAGATCGTAGACGGTACACCGTATATACGACGTGGTGTGGAGGTTGTTGAGCTGGCCCGTAGATATTCGCGCAGGCCATCCTTTTTATTTGTACATTTTTTCTTTCCACCATTTATTGTGGTGTAATGCGTATGCTTACAACTTTATTTATAATTGTTAGATGAGTTTAAATTTTGAGATTTGTGTTTTTCCACTACACGAATTTTGAAATTCAAAATCATTTAACGATGATAAATAAAATAGTGAACATACATATTACATCATACTAAATGGAACTTTAACAAAAAGCATCCAGTAATGTTCACTTTAACGAAAAACCACATTTTTACACTAAAAATCAATTCTGGTACTATTCATTTTACCCTTTATTTTGTCCTTATCATTAAAACTCAAAGTTTTCAAGCCTTTTTCATTAGTTTTCTTCGTACTAAACGATGATGCATCAAAAATGCTTTCTTTTTATTTATTCCAGCGTCACCTTGTCCGTACACGTGTTTAGGGGCCATTGATCTACGCGTCCCGGGTTCCGGGTCCACCCGTCTTGTGGCTGACGTGGTCCTTCTCCACTTCATTAATTAATTACCCGAATTACAAATAAATCAATTAATAAGTAGGAAAACTAATTAAAAGAGTTTAAAAACTATAAGTTATTAATAATAAGGAAAAAATAAATGATGAAGTAAATAGTACCAATATTGACTTTTTAGTGTAAAAATATAATTTTTTTGTTAAAATAAGCAATATCGAAAGTTTTTTATTAGAGTTCTCTTAATAATTTGAGATTTCTTAGGTTTGGTTTTCTATCGATTGTGAATTTAATGTCAAATGATATATTTTCTTAATATAAAAGTTTAGGATTTATTAAAAATATATTAAATTCTGTGAAAAATGCTTTAATCTTCTCACTGCAAAATTGAAGGATGTAGTTTGAAATTAACTCAAACTTGTATATTACATGGTTTTAGCGGAGTCATCTCCGAGACTTCAAGGTTTGTGTGAAATTTGTAAAAAGGATCCTCTTTAATATAGTTTTAAGTTTTAAAAAAGTATGACAATGTATTGATACTAAAAAACATTCATTTAAATCAAAACAAAATCAGTTAGTACTACAGTCTAGTAGTATTCCTCTTCACTTGTAAGTGAGAGGTTCTTATTAAAGATGAATTTGAACCACATTATTGTTAGTCGATAGTGAGGCTTAGCCTACTCTCCCACCCTCTTTGCGTAGATAATATCGTTTGTTTAAAAAAAAATTAAAACAATTTAACACTCACTGATTGCATGTTTACAAATGTCCTCAATGATAAGTAAAAAGAGCTACAAACATAACCTTCACTAAATAATCAAAAGCAATTTTATCTTAAACAGCCAAACATGAAGAAAAAAAACATCAGACCTCTAACTTTAAAGTTCACTTGAATATATGACATTGTTATGTTATAAAATTAAGAAAATGTTGCTTTTCAGGATGTTATTATTGACATTCAAAATATCTCATTGTACTCCAAGTTTTTATATTTAGAAAAAAAAAAAACTTTTATAAGGAGTGCACATTGCAGTTTAAAGTGCTAACAAAAACAACTTTTTTAAATATAGAATATTATTACATGATGTTAGATGACAAAAATTTAGGGGCTCCTTCAAATTTAGGATCATGTGGGACTGCACATTTCGCTTTCCCTCAACGCCCCTTCTGGGTTTTAAAACCTTTAGACCATCTCCAAATGAGATGTCAAATCTTAAGTGAAATATCATGTAATCAAATTTGAATGTAAGAATAAACTACAACTGATATGTCAATCCTATGTGGATTGACATATGAATTTTCAAATGTCAAATTTGACATATAAAAAAAAGTGATGTCAAATAATTTTTTAATTATTTTATTGTGTAGACCTCATTAATGTACCAATTATAAATCTTAAAATTTTATTTGAATTAATTTCTTTTTAAAATTTGATCATACAAATATCATTTATAACAAAAAAAACATATGAGTTGGAGGAAGAGAAAATTTGCACATTGTCACATTAGCCACAAACTAATATTTGACATTTATCTTTTGATATCTCCATTGGATATGATCTTAAGATGGGGAGCCTCCATTTTTTTATTTTAAAAATGGGGATTCGTTGTGGGCTCCACGCCACTTCGAACTTCAACAATTCAAATCATCTATTTTTAAAGTTGCATATCATAGATCATTATTGCAAAATATTCTCCAAATCAGAAATATGTGAATCATCTATTTGAGTTCAAATAAATTGACGAACATTTTGTTATGAGAAATATTGAAATTTCATCGTGACAATTAAATTATAGTAATGGTCCATCAACTTTAACCAACTTAGAGCAATGATCTCTCAACTAAAAATCCATTACCATTGGTCATTCAATTCATCAAAATGTGCAGTTATGGTCATTTTCGCCAACTTTGTTAGAACTTCCGTCAAAATGAGTCATATGTCATGTACGTGAGGCTAAATCAATGGGCAAATATGGAAAATCAAATAAGAAAAATTGTATCAATAGTCTCTCAACTTTAATCCAACTAGAGAATGGTCTCTCAACTTTAACCTAATTTGAGCACTGGTCCCTTAATTTTAATCCAATTGTAGCAATGATTTTTTCAACATAACTCATTTTGATGGAGTTGACGAAAATGACCATAATTATACGTTTTGATGAGTTGACAGATCAATGGTAATGAATTTTTAGTCGATGGGTCATTGCTTCTATTTGATTAAAGTTGAGGGACCATTACTACATTTTACTCTTAAATAGGCAAATAGTTTCAGATTGAATTGAATTTTTGCAAGAATATTCAATAAATTGAAAATTACAAAATAAATGGTTCGGATCGTTGAAGTTCAATATAGAGAGTTTCGCACTAATAACTCCTATTTTAAAATTTAAAGGGCCTGTAGACAAATTTTTTTATTTTTAAAAAATGTTTGTTTAAAATGTCCTTTGGAATCCACGACAAGCCAGTTAGCCAGTAACGGACGGCGTAAATGGGGGGTCTTTCATCTTTGAGCCACGCGTGAACAAGATTGTGAGATAATTAGATTAAGATTATGTGTGTCAATAAAGTAAAGTCTAAAGATCTAATTTTTCCTTTTAAAAATTTGGTTTGGCAGATATTTAACCCGGGGCGCAACATGTTTTTCAAAAGCCATGACGTCAAGATCCGAGCTGTGTGCCACATACCATTTAGCTTTTGCACACATACCATTTGTTGCACTTGCACACATTAGCTTTTGATTATTTTCTTTTGGTCTAGAAAGCTTTTCATAATTTAATAATTTTTTTTGCACAATTCCCTATATGCGATTGCTTCTTATTGGATAACATTGATCCTCTATTATAATTTATATAAGAATAATACTGGACTAATTAAAGGATGAATAAAAATTCATATTAAAATTGTTCATTGCTAATTTATAGAATTTTGTGTTTATAATCAGAATCGTTTATATCACGCTATCAAGATCATCTATGCAAAAAATTAATTAAAAATAAGGTTGTTTAGTCATCGAACTGTACAAAAACAAATGAACGAAATTGATGACAACATTACAAATCATCTATGTATTTATTATAATAGATTGACTAAACGACTTTCGTTTTAATTCATTTTTTTTTGCAGATATGATATTTACAATGTGATTGATAATATGAACGGTTTTGATTATAAGCATAAAGCTAAGTGATTCAAATACTAAGTGTTTTGAGTATGAGTTACTATTCATCTTTGATTAGCCAAATAATATTCTTTATTTAAACACCAAAAATCCATGGTTTTATTGGTCATTCTATTCGTCTTATTAACGATTTTGAAGAAGATGTTCACGTATATTTTTCTTTGAAAAAACAGATCAGTTGATGTTTTCGTCACGATAGTCCATTATTCCAGAGTCAAGCAGACTTATTGTGGCGTTTTGACCTCTCCTTAACCACTTGGTGTGATTCACAATCACCAGAAATTGAAACTAAGACATATCATGTGAAATATAGACATGAAATTCGTCTTTAGCAACTAAATCACTTTGTGATAGTTAGTTGTTCACGTGTTTAACTTTCACCTACTTTGAGATGCAAAAGCTAATTGACGAAACACTATTGTAATCGATGATTTGGAATTGCTATTTGCTAGGCAGGAAACACTTGCTCATATGCTTTTTGTCAGATATACGTTTAAATTTTAGGAAAACTAATGAAAATGGTTTGAAAATTTTAAGTTTTAATGAAAATGACAAAATAAAGAGTAAACTGAATAATATCAAGATTGATTTTTTAGTGTAAAAATGTGATTTTTCGTTAAAGTAAACAGTACCATGAGTTTTTCGTTAGAATTCTCTTAAATTTTTTATTAAAATGTTGAAGTGTTTCTTGAACGAGGTTATTAAGTGTTTTATTGGACGTGGAAAGTTTATTTATGTATATATGTCAAACATACTCTGAAGCAGTTTTAGTTATCAAAAATTATTTTAATCTCTTTTACAAGCAATTTTAATAGACTTTAAAGTGTGTTACGTATTTAATTTTAGGGTAAATTATATGTTTAGTACCTTGGTTTGCTCATTTGGACATGCATGTACCTGTACTTCAAAATTTGATTAATCAAGTGTAAATATTAGTTTACTCGTTAATGAGGCTGTAATTCATGACGTGGCACAATATATGCGTTGTAACAAACAAGTTAGGGCAAGAACTTTGAAGTGAAAGTGTGAAAATACCTTTCAAATAAAGGCAACCTTAAACCCAACATAATGACCAATTAGCTGCTCCTAGTTGTATTTTCTCTATCGAATGTTGGAAGAATCTCAAGTTCAAATTCGATCTTTCCCCTAATCAAAATAAAAAATTTACGATGATCAATGGTTAAATGAGTTTCTATTAAGTTGAAATGTTGTAG